CGCCTGACAGAACGATGTAGTTTTTCACTTCGCCAACGATTTTTTGTTGGTACCAATCAATTTCCAAGAACGTTGGATAGTGACAGCCATCAAAGAGTAACCATTCATGGCAGAGTTTATTTTCATCCTATGTTTATCATCTTGTTGAAATCAGTCTATGATTTTTACCGACAATGCAAACATGGCTTTGATTGACGGTGTTACCATGACCACAAAAATAAATATTCATTGTAACTCATTGCAAGAAAGGTATGAAATTCGCAGTATCTTGCCGAAGAGACATACACTATTCTGTCAGGCATTGGTGAGGTCTGATGCCGTTCAGCCAGCAAGGGCACTAATGCCTACATGTCAGGCTAGTTTTTAAGATGTATAAAAAATAGTTCTTTTTTAGGCACTTTGCAATATAAGTGATTTTGCAAATATGTCACGTATCTGAGTCAATAATTTATTGTGACAAATCATACCCCAAAGAGTACTGGGTTTCTAAAAGAAAATATTATGCATAATTATATGCATAATTTATATATTTTGACAATAATTGCATATATGTATATATGTTTATTTTTCAGGCAATTTGATTTACGATCTCCTCATACTTGTAACGATCATTGCGGTAATGTTTTAATTAATCTAAACACATATATTGGTAATCAAGCTGAAGCCAAGTGTCTGTCAGTCAATCCACTGAGACCAGAATTATTAGCAGGTATGTTCAATACACACACACCTTTCATATATATTGTATTCTATATTTATCTTATCAATACTACTGAACAAGCTTGTAATTCATCATCCAGAAATTATTCTGCATCTGTGATTGACAGCTAAACCATAACCATTTTGTCTTTGATAATAGAGTATAGTATCACTGTAAAGTAACTTCTCAATCTTCACTTAATGATTCATAGAAATCACAGCAGCAATATACAAAAAACAGACTGAGACACATTTTCCTCATTGCTCCTGTAGCTTCATACCTAGTCTACCATATGTTTAGCTTCTGTCTTTTTCATTAGATTTGGTTGGAATTGAGGATGGCCTTTCTTATACTTCTACATAATGAAAAGTTAAGCATAGACTGTAGTTATACCAATATTTAGTCGGATAAAATAAAAAAGAACTGAATTTACTAGCATGGCCATTCTACTTGCAGCTCAAAGATTACATGTAGTTTTTTACATTGTGGCTGTATTTTTTTAAATGCCATATTTACTGTATTAGTAGGAATTACTGTATTAGTAGTAACTGCAATTTGAGTTGCTACTATAATATGATGATCACATGACTATTAGGTTATGCATATTGCATATTTTTCAAAAAATTATTCATTGAGAATAAAGCACAATAGACATGCATATCATAATTCATTTACTATGCTAATAACTGCCAATAACAATGTAATATGAGGTTATAACGAGAATACTGCAATCTATGCAGTGATTATATTAACCGTCACGTACTGGTCATGTCAATGCGTTATTCATACTGCCTGAATGCATACTTTGCAGTATGCTTGTCATAACCTTATTATTATTATACATCTTTTCTCTGCTTGTAATTTAATAAGAAAAACAGCCCAAAATGGCAACAATGAAACATGTCAGGTTGTAGCAACATATGCATTCAGTGACAGGATTTTTATTTCCATCATGCACTGATAGCATTTCTGTGCATGCATCTGAAGTAAACAAAGTGTTCAAATATGATGTAAACAAAGTGTTCAAATGTGATGTAAATAAAGTGTTCAAATGTGATGTAAACAAAGTGTTCAAATGTGATGTAAACAAAGTGTTCAAATGTGATGTAAACAAAGTGTTCAAATGTGATGAATAAATCTATTGTTTTGATGTCAGATGTATAACAATCGATAATATTTAATAATATTTCCGATAATTGTTTAAATAATTGGACCATGAACTGATCTTTTATTTCAGTTGGTGCTAATGACCCATATGTTCGTTTATATGATACTCGCATGTTGAGTCCCCACTCTGTTCGGTTCTCTAGTGAAGAAAGACTTGGTGCATCTTGGCATACTCCAGCACCTGATCCAGACCCAGATGGGAAACTTCCCAAAGGTTGTGTACAATATTATGTAGCTGGTAAGTATCAGTATTAATTAATGTTTCATGTCATCGACAATTGAAATATTCGCTGCCCATAGATTTGTCTCTTTTGAATGATTTCACATTTTGTTTACCTAAGCACAACATCCAATGTAAATATACTCAAGAATTTTTAAGATGAAGATCCACATCTGCATGTACATCAATAAAATGCACATCTAACAAATAGCATCACAGTGGATGCTTGTAAATTATAGAAACAACAATTTGTGAGTTTATTGGCATATTTGAAAACTCTAAAACATAATACATGTTTTATGAATTCAGGGCTCCAGCAAATCCAGTTGAAAACAAAATTTAATTTGTTCACTTAACTATATTGTATTTATATACAAACAATTTGGACATCAGAATAGCAATAGTTTTACAGTCACTTCAGTGTGGTAGTAGTCATTCATCCTGCCCCACACATTATCTCACTAAATCACACACCAAACAGTTTTCCAGTAAAATTAAAAATTACGTAATTTTTACCCTTTGACTTTGGTATTCCACTCTTGATATGCAAATTAGCAAAAAAAAATATGTTCTTTTCCATTTGGTGTAGTAACAAGATACTTTATGTGCTTTGAAAATTCTTTATGATGAATATTATTATACATTGGAAACTGCAACTAATTTTTTTTGTGTGAATCTGTAAGTTTGTGACGTGCTGGCTGACCAGTATTTTCATCAGCTGGTGCATGTAACAATATACTTGCATATAATTAGATAACTTTGGGTTACCCAATCATTGAGCAGAAATCAAAGTAGTGCACAGCCCGTGAACACACTTATATGAAGATTGTAAGTGCTTGATTACAACTTTCTTGCTGATTTTCATAAAGTCCAGGAACATAATAATAACAGAATGTGGTATATCTATTTTCGTGAAAGTTCGTCCACAGGATATACCTCATCACTCTATAAAATAATTTGCATTCCCTACAAATGTCAGGTGAAGACCATGGGGTCCTTTCATTTATGCACCAAGACAGAACAGGATAACATCAATCTCCGCTACATGTTGGTAAATTCATACCTACATGTACCATAACATTTGTATTAGAAGCCGCATCCCCAATAGAAGTCGCACCCATAATAATAATTGAGAACCAAAAATTCATCATTTCTCAAATGTGTATATGCTCTAATAGATGCTGCATCCCTTTTGTTGCAGTGTACCATTTTAATAGAAGCTGCGGCTTCTATTACAGATTTTACAGTACTAGTAATCTTGTAATAGCCTCATATAATTATATACTCATCTTTTACTCATTTATTTATTGTCTTTTAGGTCATTTACCAATCAAGCAAAATGATTATCATCAAAGATTTCGTACATTAGTTTCTACTTTTGTTACATTTGGACCAGACGGTACCGAACTATTGGTCAATCTTGGTGGTGAGCAAATCTACCTTTTTGATGTGACAAAAAGGAAAGAATGCAAAAAATATCGATTAGATGATTATAAATTGCCATCTTTGAGTACAAATGGTGTAGTTAAAGGTAAGAATATTGTAAGAAACAAGGTACTCTTCTTCCCCAAAAAATAGGATATAATGCGAGTTTGTTTAATTTAGACTTGACCAAAAATTCAAAATTACATATCTGAAAGTTTTGTGAATCTATGTGACTTGAAGTGAAACAAGGTCAAGCGCTACCCAATCAAAGACGTGAATTACCGGTAGTGCCTTGGGTTATTCTTGGCATCTTTTCAACTTTTCACCATGGCGCTGAAGTCATTCATCTTTTAGAGCTATGCTTTCTAATTCTATTCCTGTTGACTGAGGAAATGTTTTGATCCATATACATTGCTTTAAGGCACTTTTTACCTCGCCACATGTCTGTAGTTTCATTTATGTTGTGAACAAAAAAGATTGACATTTTTTAAGTTAAATCAGATGCACGAATGAGTAAAATTAATAGTTTTTATGGTAAAAAGCATAGAAGCCAGTCTGTGTTGACGCTGGAAATAGAAGTGAAAACAGTTGATTATACAAAACAATGTTGAGAATAAAGTGGCTCAGGTGGTCTGCAAAACAATATGACCCATTCCAAACATCACCATCCTTGAGATAAATATGATATCAGTTACTGATATTGCTCTTTGTTCATACAGCATCATATATCAGTTTATAATAATGCAAACAGCTTTAAACATGATTTATTACACTCATATCTGCCAAACAGTCCTTATTACTGAGAAAAAATATATAGAAAATAAAAAAAAATTCTTCTTAAGTACTCTGTTTTTGAAAAACATGTAGCCACATTTGTTTTTGTCTAATAGAGCATGGTGATTACTCTTTAGGTGAATATCACATGTATTGATGTAGTCACATACTGGTACTCTGAATAGAGTGAATATCGCATGTATTGATGTAGTCACATACTGGTACTCTGAATAGAGTGAATATCGCATGTATTGATGTAGTCACATACTGGTACTCTGAATAGAGTGAATATCGCATGTATTGATGTAGTCACATACTGGTACTCTGAATAGAGTGAATATCGCATGTATTGATGTAGTCACATACTGGTACTCTGAATAGAGTGAATATCGCATGTATTGATGTAGTCACATACTGGTACTCTGAATAGAGTGAATATCGCATGTATTGATGTAGTCACATACTGGTACTCTGAATAGAGTGAATATCGCATGTATTGATGTAGTCACATACTGGTACTCTGAATAGAGTGAATATCGCATGTATTGATGTAGTCACATACTGGTACTCTGAATAGAGTGAATATCGCATGTATTGATGTAGTCACATACTGGTACTCTGAATAGAGTGAATATCGCATGTATTGATGTAGTCACATACTGGTACTCTGAATAGAGTGAATATCGCATGTATTGATGTAGTCACATACTGGTACTCTGAATAGAGTGAATATCGCATGTATTGATGTAGTCACATACTGGTACTCTGAATAGAGTGAATATCGCATGTATTGATGTAGTCACATACTGGTACTCTGAATAGAGTGAATATCGCATGTATTGATGTAGTCACATACTGGTACTCTGAATAGAGTGAATATCGCATGTATTGATGTAGTCACATACTGGTACTCTG